GCACTCGAGTGTTCCTCGAAAAAGTAAAAATAAGTTGGCTTTCATGAGGATATTGGCTCGTGTGCATGAGAGCGTCTAGACGGCAATCAAGCGAGCACGCGTGTCGCCGCTTTGGGGATGCAAAATGCCTTACAATGAGCAAACTCTCTTTTGCCCTGCCTGCCCTGCCTGCCCTGCCCGACTCTCACATTCCCGCTTGGCTTTTTTTCACTTGGAGCTCTTCCCTCCAAGTTTATCTACCTATTTATCCCCCACGCAGGCTAAACTAATCGAGCGAGTCATCGCGATACGTTGCCAGCGCGCGCGTCTCCCCGTGTGGGTGTGTGGGTTTGCCCGAGTGTGGAGCAACACAGTCTCCAGAGCCACACGCACGAGGAGACTAAAGAACGGCCGGGTGTAATTAGTAACACATGTGGCAGCCGAACGTCGAGTAGCGACCCGGCCGTTACGTTGGCTGTCGGACTGTCGGTCGCGCCCGATAGATACGTGTGTGTGAACTGAATGCACCGAGTGCACCGAGTGCACCGAGTGCACCGATGGCTGCATCGGCTGCAGAATTCTAAAAACTTACAACGTCTCTCAGGTTACCTCCCGCTTGGCCCTTTCGGAATCCCTCTTACGTCACTTCCGGTGGCCAAATGGATCCAAGAACCACTGCCTCAGCCTCCTTCACCTTTGAACCTTCCTCTACGTACCTTCGTAACTCGTGCACCGCAGCCGAATAACACGCGGCCGAGCGGGCGGTTGCAATTTAGGCGGCATCGACCGACCGCCGACTCAGCCTCTTCCACTGAAAGTTCGAATCTCCCACTGTGTCTCTGTTTACTCGACTTTTCGTCCCAGGAACTCTGATGGCGTCTCCTTAGCTCGGTCACGAAGTCACAGTTTGGGTCGACTGATTTTTCAAGCGTTCATGCTCTCCCCTTCTCTTCTTTCTTGGCTCCATTAGCTTTCGCGGCAGAATCAATTTATTAGGCAGCCGGACTGACGGTCAGACGACGAGATGCGACGGCAATATTATCTGGCGCCGAATGATTGCTCCATATAGTCCACACGACAGTGTGACGTCAGGCAAGTCCTGGGAAAAGGACGCACGCGTCCCGACAGCTTGGGGCCGACGCCGCCGACGCCGCCGACGCCGCTGCTCGATTTACGTACGTGACGATGTCTCGATATCGCGATCGAGAGTTCCCTCTTGTATCTCCTGCTGCTCCCTCCTTTCCACGATACGAAACGTCGCCGCGTCTTTTCCAAGCGACGATAAGAGGCTGACTCTTTCCTCGCGTGCATTATCTCAAGTGGCACGTACGTGCGGAGGTACGGGTGACGTCATCGGATCGCCTCCTTATTCCTCCCAGAGTCCACCGTCGACTCGTTGGGGCGCTGGTCCTTTTGGTTCGCGTATTTCCCAAGCATGGCATCCTTTAAATTTCAAATGCTCCCCTGAGCCCTCTCTCCCTCGGACGATTAAAGAACGGAGCCTCCCCCCTCCCCCCGGCTATTGAGTTTTTGGGCATGGCTGCCGATGACGTCACTCCTCTCGGGGTGCCCTTCACGGCGTCACGCACACTCTCTCCTCTCTCTCTCTCTCTCCTGTACGTACGTGCCCATGCCAATGGCTCCCTCGATAGGTGCACTCACGGTCCTATGACTCCGAGCAGCTGCTGTCGAAGGAGGATCGCGAATAGTCCGGGCAGTTTGCCGACCGGACTGATTCGCGCGATTTGCGCCATTTCGGCGATTCGCAACAAGCGCAGACTTACATTTGCTTCCGCTGCAGCAGGCAGCAGCCCGAGCGTGTGGCCCGCCATTGGCTACTGGAGCTGTTCCATTACCTGGGTTACATCCTGGGTAGGATCGGTTGGCCCTCGGCAAAGAGTCGGAGCTTACGCGCGAGCAGCTTCGACAGGAACGTGCATCGGATGGAGGCTTCAAACTTGAGATAATGGGACGCCGAAGTGACGTTTCACTAGAAGTTCGAACATCTAGGAATTGGTCTGAGCGTGAATACGAGTGTTTGCTCTACCGAGAGAAGAAACGGATGAAGCTGGACGGGCATTGCTATACTTGCTACACCGACAATGTAGGACGCACGTGTCTGCCATTTCAGGTTACTTCGAGCCAAATCTCTATTTGAATTATTTCCCCGTTTTCCCGTTCTACGTATTCTTCGGTTCTCGTTCTTCCTAGCTCGCTGCGCGAATACTCGTGAGATTTTCGTGAAAAGGATCCGAGAGAACTGCCGCGGCTCTCTTGTGCTTCGCAAATCCCATGATCCTTCCTCCTCTTTCCCATTACCGCCCATTCCTTGTCTCCCTCTTTCTCCTCTTTTTCCTCGCTACCTCGCTACCTCGTTCCACGTTCGCTGGTATCTTGCCAGACGTTATCGTAATTTCCTACTGACCGGAAATCCCGCCATTGCCCAGATCCAGATGCAAACGATCCTTGAATTACTGAAAACTACCCTCCGTGAGCGCCCCCCTTAATTTCTCGGCGGCTGCGAAGATTCCGAGATTCCAGATGATCCTACGGATAACGCGTTATCGTCTTCTGGAAAATGGACTTGAAGTTCAGGTCAACCTTACCTCGTGGTATAATTACACATTGCAGAATGGGCACCACGGTCGAGTGACCGCGAGGGTCTCAATTACTGGGGATTTTATTCTATCTGAAAAAAAAACTATATCGTCATGGGGAGGGGGGGGGTGGGGTCGGTCCCGATAGGGTAAACATTTGGTATCGATCGCGCAAAAGTTCGTAATTTGGCCATTGAGTCGGAAGTTGCGATCGAGAATGGGTCCCGATATCTCCGATAATCTCGGAAAATGGGTTTCCCTTTCCCGACAGAGAATAGAGCCCTTAGCTGGGTGACCCATAAATTTGCCCGTACCACTTTTCGGGATTCGCCAGCCTGTCTGGCGCGTTCGCGCAAATTCTCCTTCGAGAGGAGAGACGCGGGCGGACGAACCACAAGGCGAATTAATACCAGAGACATTTCTCTTGATGTCTTGCGGAAATGACGTCAGTCGATCCTTTCAGCCGGGTAGCAGCTGTTGACAATTTGACATTGTAGCAGCGAGACCAGCGAGACCAGCGAGACCAGCAACGCCTGTTTCTTTGCTTCGCTCTCTTCCACTCTCGGGAATTCTCCCTCTCCATCCGTATTTGGCTGAGCTTCGT